CCGCTGGCAAATCTATAAATGGGCTGGATTCCCTGGCCCGGGCTTGGAAGGAACCTCACCCAACTTGTGTCCTGCAGTAGATGAGAACAGGAGGCCAGAGTGGGAGGGGCTGGTGCCTCCAGCTGGCTAGGCCTCACCCTCTGCATGAATGCCGGCTCACCGGGACACAAGGGCACGTCAGCACTGCCAGGGAGCCTGGGGGAGTCCTACCCTCCCAGTGAGCATAGCCTGGTGCTGACACTTCCTGCTCCAGTCTCTGGGATGGAGCTTCATTCCCTTGAGCTCTCTGGGTGGTCTGATGCAGCACCTTTCTCTAGGTGAGGATGGCAGGAGCCAAGCACTCCTGGCGCCACACCTGTCTCCTCACTTATGAAACCAGAACCTGGAAGGAGTCATTCATTCATTTATCCATTCATTATTTATTGAGCCTCTGTCGTGGATATGCTCCTCTGGGCTGGCCCAAGCGTCTAGTCAACCAAGATTCCTGTTAATTGAGTTGATATTTGAAGTCTCCACCTACAGGTGGATATTCCAGCTTCCAGGAAATCAGGATATGATGGAGCACTGCAGGGCGGGTGCCTCCACTTCAGTAGGACTGTGTGCAGCAGCCCTTTCCTTTCCTTTGTCCCTCGTCTCAGCCCTGGGCCAGGAGGCAGGTCCAGGTTCCTGTCCGCATTCCGGGAATGCAGTGGCCCGCCTGGGGGGCAGGGCCCAGATTCCCTCCTGACTCCTCTGCTGCCTCTGCACCACCACACACAGCAAGGCTGACTGGCGGGAAACCAGCTCCGACCCTTTGGAGGTGGGCTCTGCCCCTGGGGCGTCTGCCCCTGGGACACATGCCAGCTTGTCTCTCTTTACCCCACAGGCTTGCCCATGGGTGATGTTCCCATGGATGGCATGGCTGTGGCCGATCTAGGCCCCGTGGTGCTCAGCCTGCTCAAGACGCCAGAGGAATACATCGGCCAGAACATTGGGCTCAGCACCTGCAGGCACACGGCAGAGGAGTACGCCGCCCTGCTCACCAAGCACACTGGCAAGGCCGTGCACAACGCCAAGGTGGGCTCCTCCCTCCCCCAGGACTCAGGCAGCCTTGGTCAGGTCCTTTTCTAACTCCCAGTGGGGATTTATGGAGCTGTAGGGAAAGAATGCCTAGGGCTGCCCCACCCCGCGGGGCAAGGTGACTCTAAATTCATTTGTTAATTGTTAACATTTATGTTGTGCTGTTCTGGGAGCTGAGGGTGGCCACAGAGTGCAATTTCTGGTTTAAGTGTTCTGACCAAGTAGAGAGAGAGAAAGGTTTCCAGGAGGAGGGGACGGTAAGAGCCAAGGCAGGGAAGGGTAGGAAGCAGGACCTGCTGGCTCCTCTCTGGGGTGCAGTGTGAAGGGAGGGGCAGGGAGGGAGGCTGGAAAGGTGAGCACAGCCCCTGCCCTGTGTGGCCTGGCTGCATGGGTGGGAGGCCCACTGTCTCCCTCTCCCTGCTGACCCTCAGGCTTCATGTCCCTACTCCTGGGTGCCTTGTTTCTAATGTCTGTCGTTCCCATTAAGATCTACTCGTTAAAATCTGGGAAACACTGAGTCATTAAAAGACACCCGCGGAGCCCGCCCAGACCCAAGCAGAGCGGTAAGGGGAGGGGCTGCAGGGAGTGGTGCGGTGGTCGCACTCCTACACTCAGACCCCGGCATCAGCATGTGGGCTTGGGCACATTCCCTGACCCCTCTCTGCCTTAGTTTCCTCATTTGTAAAATGGGTGTATTATTGGTATCCCCCTCCTCAGGTTGTTGTGAGGATTAAATGAACTAAGCAGTGTAAAACCTTTCTTAACACCATGCTAGCACCTCAAAAACGTGCACTAAATGACCACGTATTAACTTTTTTATAAAAGGCCTGAGCCAGGTCAGGGGATCTGAGGAGTTAGGATTTAGTTAGGTAGGGAAAGCTTTGGTTTTTGAGGAAAGTGATGCAAGCAGAGCTTCAATTTGGAAGGGACTGAGCAGTTTTCATCTCATGACTTGGAAAGAACAGTCTTTAAACCGACCTTGAATGTCAGGTAGTTCATGAGAACAGTGGTGTCTGAACTTTGAGCTTTAGTAGAAAGTTTTCAAACGGCCTCGTAGTGAGAACCGCAGTTGCAACCGAGACACCACCGGCAGCTCTGGGTGTAGCAGGCTGGGAGACTCCGACTCACCCAGCATCCCCCCTCCACCTCCCCGGGGCGCGGGAAGATGTGGAACATGACAGGCTGCCTCTGCTTCCAGGCTACTCCTGAGGACTACGAGAAGCTTGGCTTCCCCGGGGCCCAGGACCTGGCCAACATGTTCCGTTTCTACGCCCTGAAACCCGACCGCAACATTGAGCTGACCCTGAGACTCAACCCCAAGGCCCAGACGCTGGACCAATGGCTGGAGCAGCACAAAGGGGACTTTGCCCAGCTGTGACCTGCCCACCTCGCAGCCCCGCGCCATGGGGTGGGAGGCAAGGTCATCCTTTCTTGTGTTACCAAAAAAAAAGTGTTTTAAATAAAGCCATTGTTCTCACAGATGGTTTCCAAAAGAAAAGGGCTCTGTTTCTGGGACTTGGGTCAGGGTGGCAGTGGGGGCACCAACAGCATAACAGTCCCCACAGGAGACAGCAAGTGGCTGGGGCTGCAGGGCTCAGTTGGTGACCAAGATGAGTGACTTAAACTTGTGTCTAAGTAAATAGTGAAATGGAGTGTTCTGACCTGTTCCCACCATACTCGGAATCCGGGATGGAGAGGAGCCCCAGCCACCAGGCGCAGTGCCTCTGACGTCCCCACACACACCTTCACCTCCCAAGAGCTCAGAGCTCATGATGCCACCTGCTATCTGTTCTTTCAGCTGGGACAGACTCCGGAGGGGGTGGAGAAGACACAGGCCCACCTCCCTCTCCCTCCTCACCCTCTTGTCCTGGGTGGGGGTGGGGCTGGCGCCAGGGTGCAGCCCAGGATGTGGGCAACCTTCAGAACAGGCTGGAAGAAAGAACAAGCAAAGGAGTGTGACAGAGCTGTGGACCACAGGGCACAGTCACTGGACTCAGCTGAGCAAAGGTGATGCTGCCTGCAGCAAAGGCCAGGAAGCGAAACCACAGGATAAACAGTCTGCCTTGCTCATTGTAGAGAAAAGGGGAAGGGCCCAGAGAGAACATGTCATTCCCCAAGGTTCCATGGCAGCTCTGAATTTTAACATATGTAAGGGTTTGCACAAGCCCTGTCACAGCTGTCTTAGTAGCCCACGCTGGCCTCGGGACCCTCAGCCACAAAAATTCAGTCGATTCATTGATTGACTGAAACATCTCTGACAACTCGCCAGCATGCTGGGTCCTATCCAAAGGTCCCCAGCCTATGGTGAGTTGTATAATTATTTCATTATACATTACAACGTAATAGTTACAGAAATACAGTGTACAATAAATGCAATATGCTTGAATCATCCCAAAACCATACACCCCCACCCACCCATCTGTGGAAAAACTGTCTTCCATGAAAACAGTCCCTGGTGCCAAAAAGGTTGGGGACCACTGCTATATACGATGTTCACAAAAAAGTTATGCTCCCTGCCTTGAGCTTATTTAGTGGGAGAGCCAGATACAAATAAATGCACAACAAATAGTTACAAACTGACATAAGGGCCGCAAAGAACAGGATGGTCAGGAGGGCTAAAAAAACAATAAGAAGCAGGACATTTTTAGGACAGGGACAGCTTCCAAGGAGGGGATGAGTAGGCTGAAGTCCCCAGGGTGGGAAGGAGCCTCCCAGGCAGGGTAAGAGGGACAGACTCCAAGTGTGGGCTTCTGAGCCCAACTGAGTCAGGAAGAGAATAGGAGAGGTCATCTGTGTCCACCCCTGGGTGATGCCTGAGTCCCCCAGGCCTGAGGGTGGGAAACACCCTGCCTGTCATGACTCCTTGTGTCTCCTGCCCCAGTGGCCCACGGTCAGTACCACCCAGCCTTTTTTTGTATTTTTAGATACATCATCTTGGCCAGGTATGGTGGCTCATGCCTGTAATCCCAGCACTTTGGGAGGCCGAGGTGGGAGGATGGCTTGAGCCCAGGAGTTGAGGCTGCAGTGAGCTGTGATCAGGCCCCTGTATCCCAGCCTGGGTGACAGTGTGAGACCTTGTCTCAAAAAAAATCATCTTACAGCCTAGCCCCAACTCAGAGGCTGGTAACGAATGTTGCAGGCCACCTTCTGACTCCCTAAGGGGTTCAGCACGGCAATAATAGTGTGTCTTTAGCAAGAAAACCCACCTTTCTCTTCTGAAGTCTTTCTCCAGACTTCTGCTTTCAGAGGGCAGGACATGAACGGGACTCAGGCTGACCTCTCCAGGAATAAATCTGGACAGGAGACACCGTCCAGCTTCCCAGCACGGTGTCCCCAAGACCTTGAACAGTGCCTGGCCCATACTGAGTGTCCATAGCAGGCAGGCAACAAATGTCTTGTTGATCAAAATACTGGGAAGTATCTGAGATGGGCATAATGTCACTGCTGAGCCTCTTTCCATCAGCTCTTTCCCTGGTCTCTGCCCTGCCTGACCCAGAGAACACCCTCACAGCTCACCCCGCAGGTGGGTTGAGCTGTGTGCCAGGGCCCCCTCCAGCTGTGCCAGGCATCGGAGCTCTGCTGAGAGCCCAGACTAGTTAAACCACAATAAATAAAAATTTTAATGTATAAAGATGCAAAAACTCCGAAATGGAGGGGAAAAAAAAATCTAGCAAGGGAGACAGCGAGGCAGACCTGGGGAGGCTGCCCCGCTCCTTTCTCACGGGCTCCCAAAGAAAAAGTCACGCCTGAACCCTAGAACATCTGAACGTTGTCTCAGCAGCACTGGGCAGTGGGAGTCGCACCGTCAGTGACCCAGACCCATCAGCGTGCGAGTGTGTGGATGTCACCAGGGGGATGAGGCCAGCTGACCCTTCAGTAAACCCCGGCTAAGTCACCTGCAGAAGGTTGTCTGAACTCTCTCAAGGAAGAAATGACCACAATTTAGGTTTTAAATATCTTTTTGCAGTAGATAATCTTATTTACATTAATACAGAATCATTTTACATTCTTAAATCAGACACTACTAGATGCTTTATTTTAGTGAATTGTAAAGGAAAACAGAAAGGAAACTCTCGAGAAGTGTTCTTCATTGACCTTTGTTACAATAGCTCAAGGATCCTGAAACAGGGAAACCGAAACGTGCTACCAGAGAGGCTGGGGCAATGGGTGTCTCGCTCTGGCTGAAAAGGTGGGGAACCTTCCACTGCTTAGGCTGTGCGTTCCTTTTCTGAACAAACATTTACACAGGAAAAGACAATGATTAGCACTGAATAATCTAAACACCCTTTGGAAAACAGACGTCAGCAGAGTACATGGGAGAACCAAGCCCCGGCTGGCGGCGGTGGCAGGGCTCCGAGTGCCTGCCTGAGGCAGCTGGAGTCTGCCCGGCACAGTGGCCACGGCGGCTGTGGCTCAGCAGAAGGGCAGGAGCCCCACCACACCTGGCGTAGAACAACAGAACTGAACAGTCGGGGACAGGCGCCACCCTGAATGAGGCAGGAAGGAAGATGACCATCCTGACAAGGATCAGCCACCACCCCTGTGGTCAGGAGGGGAACTCCCAGGGACCCTAAGGGCCTTTGTATGTGCCTCCCAGGCCCCCAAGCACCCACTGTGCAGCTGCCTGGTACCTTTGGGAATTAAAAACAAACTCCAAGCAGAGCGACCGATGCCTTGGCAGAACCTGTCAGGGGAGGATGGTGCTGGTGGGGCCTGGGGGCCCCAGGTTCCCGGTGAAGACAATCTGTCAGCAAGGACCCATCCTGGAACCTCCTGGAGGTTTGCTGAGAGGAAAGTAATCACTTCATGACTTGGTGCAGCTTAAGGCTTCATTTTTAAGCTGTAAGGATGGCCTTTAATTTTTAACTAAGATCTGCAGCACATTCAATTCCAAATTAGACTTTTAGTACTGCAAGAGTCCAACTGTCTTACTCTGCCTGAGCCAGAAGAGGCTGAGTCACCTACCCGTGGACAGGAAAGCTCTACCAGCCCTCAGAGTGCTGCAGCTTACTGACTGGGGGCTGTCCATTGTGACCTTTCCGGGGAGAGATGTGTCGTCACGTGATTCTGCTGTTGCAAGACAGTCCAGAAGGCTCTGCAGGCGGGAGCTCAGGGCTGCTGTTCTGGATCCTCCTGTCTCCTAGGCGCCTTGGCCAAGTGGAAGGGCAACTGCTTCCTGGTCTAGTTTCCAGTGGATCGTTTTCCTGGGACGAGGAGACAAATGGTCACACTTCACTTGACATCCCAACAGAACCCATCCCAATGAGAGGGCTTCTGTCAATCCCTGGAAAGTAGCTGTGCCGAGAGTGAAGAGTCCCAGCTCCCAGGGACGAGCAGAAATGAAAGTAGGTCCCGAGAGCCCACCGTGGGCAAGCACGACTCCTGGCAGCGCCCCCAAACTCCCCCGCCCCGTGCTGCCCAGGCAGGACAGGCAGCTACGAAGCAGGCAGGAGTTGAGATCTGAGTTCTAGGCCTGGCTCTGCTACAATTCACCCCTGTGACCGTGGGCAAGCTGGTCCCACCACGGCAAGATGCAGAGCTCCTGGGAGCTGGTGTGAGGAGGGCTGTGCAGCAGCCCCCCAGACCTCTCCAGGAAGAGGACACAGCAAAGGCCGGTGGCTGCGCCTGGCCAGCCCTGTCTGCTGGCTGCCACAGTGCTCTCCCCACGGCGGAGAGGTCTGGCTGAGTGGAGCCAGATTTGCCATGCCTCACGCTGGCACCTCTTCCAGCTCCTCGGGACGGGGGGTGCAATACTGGTAACAGTGAGGGAAAACGGGGATCAGTCCAGAGCGGGGCTTTCCTACCTCGGCTGGGAGATCAGGAGGTAAACATTTTCTTAAGTTTGGAAAGGAATCCCTCCTTGTCCTCCCCAGCCTCACGCCTAGCCTCGCTTCCTGCGGAGCTATCCGTGGTGCCGCCACCTGGGCACAAACAGCAAAAAGAACTGGGGTCAAGGGCACACACCTCCATGTGTCACACCCTAGGTCCCCGCCTACCCCTGCGGGCCATGCAAGGGCCTGGCACTCGAGGAGCAACCCAGAGCCACCCCAGGAAGAGGGGCCACTCCCATGTTGGCCAGAACCACCTCCCTGGCCAGAGGACTGAGGAGAGCAGGCCGCTCAGAGCCCAAGGGTGTCCCAGCTGCTCTCTGAGTCCTGGACCGAACAGCAGGGAAACAAGAAATAGAGACGGACGGTGACCAGCTGTCTCTATCTGGACAACAGTAACAAAACATGGCCAAGTGCCTGATGCTTCCCAGGCCAGGACATACAGTTTACACACATTAGCTACACAATCCCTAGGGTAACCTTACAGGCAAATTTCACAGATAAAATGAAAAACAAAACAACGCAGGCAGAGTTAGGTGGTTTATCCAAGGTCACAGAGCCAACAAGTGGGTGGGAGGCTGAGTCCAGACCTGAGCAGCCTGACCCCGAGCCCAGGCTCTTCACCACCGTGCTACTGGCTGTAGGGAGGTAAATCATGTCCACCAAGAGAAGATCCTATTTCTTTCTTTCTTTTTTTTTTTTTTTTTAAGACCAACCGACCAGATTGTGTGCTGTGTGTGCACACATGATGTCTCCAGGACATCCGCAAAGGAATCACTGCCACGTAGAGTCCTCTAGCGTGCACACTGCCCGTCTGTCTCAACATAGCGGGAGTCTGTGTTCCTGAGCAAGCCCTCCCCATCTGGGGCACCTGATCCCAAACGCTCCAGATCAAGGGAAGCTCTTCTGCTGTTTCTAGAGGGCCAAGGCTGAGACTACCTAGGGGAACTCTGCTGCACAGATGTGTATTTTAAAGTTTTGCCAACCACTAGGCAAGGAGGACAAACCTTTGTTATAACTTAGAATATAGACCTAAACTGAACACTTTAAATGTAGGCCACATTTTTAATGTGCTCAGAGAGCTAAGCCACATATAGTGCTTAATACAGTAAAGAACGGTGGTCCCCAAGTCTCAGTCCAAATAAGACTGCCTTCCTTAGTGAGAGGCCCGAAGCTTGGGGTAACAGGTCCCTAAGAAGGGATGGGCATGGGGCACAGTCCTCTGGGCATAACACAATCAGAGCCTACTTTGTGTGTCCCCAGGACCTGGGACAATGGCCTGTTCCTCTGGCCTGGCATGCTCTCAGAACTCAGGTGTGTTCTCAGAGAGAGAACAGTGCCCTGAGCAAGGACGTGCTGAACAAGATCTGGGCGATCGCCAAAGTGGCTAGGGCTGCAGCTGAGCTCCAGGACTCCACAGAAGAGGAGCCAGGCCCTATACAACACTGCTACGGGAGCACCCTACCGCCACGAGGTCATGAGGTCAGGTGTGCCCTTTCTTCGCATCCCCTTCTCTTACGTAAAGCCTTAAACAACAGAAAGGACTCTCCTAATGCAACAGAAACCAGAAATTCCCATCACTCCTGGGACTCCTGAGACAGGGAGAGCAAGAGTTTTGAATTATGTCCTTGGTAGGCAGATGGCAAATCTCAGTGTGTGCGCAGTTGAGTCACACTACAAGAGCTACCACAGCCGGAACTTCTGACAGCCACCAGGCATTGTGCCAAAGCCTTATCCATGTGATCTCATTTAGTTATATAAAAACCCTGGCCGGGCGTGGTGGCTCACGCCTGTAATCCTAGCACTCTGGGAGGCTGAGGTAGGAGGATCACTTGAGGCCAGGAGTCCAAGACCAGGCTGGGCAATAGTAACATCCTGTTTCTACAAAAGATGAGGAAAAAAACTTAGCCAGGTGTGGTGGTGCACACCTGTAGTCCCAGCTCCTCGGGAGGCTGAGGCAGGAGGATGGCTTGAGCCCAGGAGTTTGAGGTTGCAGTGAGCTATGATGATGTCACTGCACTCTAGCCCCAGCAACAGAGACCCAGTCTCCAAAAAAAGAAAAAAACCAAAAATATAAAACCCTATAAGTAGTACTACTGTTATCTCTAATTTACCCATGAGGAAGCGGAGGCTCAGAGAGGTAAAGTAATTTACCTAAGGCTCCACAGCTAATACTGGCAGAGCTGGGGCCTGAATCACCTGACATCAGAACCCCAGCTCTTAACTACTAGTCAAGGGGCACAAAAACACTCAGCAACTTCTGTCACCTTCCTCCCCACCCCTGCTGTCCTTGTCACCCAGAGGGCAAGAAGTGGCTTGTGCCCCATGGCCATGGATGTACTTGAGCCATAGTGGCCAAAGTCTGGGGGATCTAGAACAAGCGCCTGGTTAGCTGGTGAGAGCTCAAATAGCATAAAAACAAACAAAAAAAAATGAAACACAAATGTACACTCAGAAATTCTTCTCACCTCCTGCCACCAAGAACAGTCTCAGCTCTATTTTAAATTTGGGTAAAAAGGGTATGGGCTCCTTTAGGAGTAAGGTTTACTGACAGGGACATCAGAGGATATGAAGTACTGACTCTGAAATTTTTTCTTTTTTTTTTTTTTTTTTTTTGAGACAGAGTCTCACTCTGTCACCCAGGCTAGAGTACAGTGGCATCTTCAGAGCTCACAGCAACTTCAAACTCCTGGGCTTAAGGGATCCTCCTGCCTCAGCTTCCCGAATAGCTGGGACTATAGGTGTGCGCATGACGCCCAACTAATTTTTCTATTTTTAGTTCAGATGGGGTCTTGCTCTTGCTCAGGCTGGTCTCGAACTCCTGAGCTAAAGCAATGCTCCCACCTCGGCCTCCCAGAGTACTAGGATTGCAGGCGTGAGCCACTGTGCCCAGCCCTGAGTCTGAAATTCTAAACCAAATGTTAGCAATCCAGCTGTGAGCCAATGTACATTGACAATGAAGTCCACAAATGTATCACTTTCCTCTCTCCCCAACTCCTGATTTCTGAGGAGCAGCCTGGGGCAGGAGGAAGGACGTGTCCTTATAGGATGTCCTCAGCACTTAGTGCCTTCCGGTCCATTAGAGGATACAAACGTGAACACTTTATTTCCAAAGCTTCTTTAAATAGAGCACTTTAAAGAAAGCTTCTTTCAATAAAGTACACACTGTTTGCACTTTAGAATAAACAAGAACTGCCCTAAAGGAAGTCCCTTCTAGCTGACAGGGCACTGAACAGCGTTTCTGGTCTGTGTCTTCCAACGGTGACCACAACAGGAAGGGATGGGAGCTGCTCGGCCAACCCCAGGCAGAGGCTGAACCAGAAGGTCCCAGGGCCAGCCCCCCCAACCACCACCCGTGGTCTTCCTGACAAGGGATCACATGCCCATCTTTCCCTCAGAGCACTTCCCAGCCCATGTTTAGGAAAATAAATGAAAATAAGCACAAATAACATTTACCGTGAGCCAACCTCGTGCCACACACGGGGCAAGGTGGCAGGACACAAAGAGGAAACATTCTAGTTTACTGCAGGCAGGGATTCCCCATCACAGCTGTTTGATGGCTGCTTATGGGGTGACGCCAGGGGCAGAAAAACTAGATGACATTCATTCCATGAATCTGTATCATTCATTGAGGCCAAAATGTTTTCTCCACAGTTATACAACTCCTAGTGTTACTAGAAAAGTCTAACGTGTATCTGTGGGTGAAGGTTTTTCAATCCTTGTCCTACCTTCCTCCATAATACTATATGCTTGATGAGAGTAGAGACCTGGTCTCTCTCTCTGCATCATTTCACAGCACGCAGCAAAGGCTAAATGCACGTCTGTTTGCAGGAAGAGAGGCCAAGAGGAGTCCAGGATCTGACTTCCCAGGAATGCGACACCCCGCAGGTCTGAACTCACAGCCTGACTCACCCACGGGCTGCGCTGGGAGGCTCCAACTGCCTCCCGCTCTACTTCACTGTCTTCTCCCCCGTCTTCCTCCTGCCTCCACCCTGCATAACGGCGATACACAGCCAACACTTTCAGCCACGTTGGAGAAGAGAAACAATCCCCAGATCACATTGTACTGAAGTCTGGAACATGTTTCCACACTCACAGCTAAATGTACTTATGTGTGTGTCGTCACAAGAATTAACGACGATCCAGAAGAAAAGCAGTGAGCCACACTGAAAGAGTCACATAGTAACCTCACCACAGACTGCCCCAGTTCCCTGTGTCTTGCTGACAGGAGATGTACCCGCTTAGGCCTGGGAGCCCTAAGCGTCCCTGAGCACACCGTGGTCTTTTTGGTTCACAGACTGGAAAAGACACTAGGGTCAGCTATTACGATTTTCAGCAGCTGCACTGAGGAACAAAAATAAACAAGAGATACTAAAGCCATCAAAAACTTCAGCCTGTTTGTTTAGGCTTTAGGCCTAGGGAACTGTATATATTCCAAATGTCTTCCATGTACCCTTTTCCGTAATGAAAACAAGTCTTCAAAGACACCCAGGAATCAGTTTGTATCCGCAGATGACTCACCAGTCTCTAATGACTCTAACTCATGTGTACTTAGAGGGCTATTAAACAGTGCCATGAGCTGCCTTTATCCCGCGAACCACTGAGAAGTGAATACAAACTGCTTCTAGTATAACTCTAGTTTTGTTGAATGCTTGAAATAAGAGACTCAGGGCCATGAACAGTGGCTCACGCCTGTAATCCCAGCACTTTGGGAGACCAAGATGGGAGGATCACTTGAGCCCCAGGAGTTCGAGGCTGCAGTGAGCTGTGATGATGCCACTGCACCCCAGGCTGGGTGACAGAGTGAGACCCTGTCTCTAAAAAAAAAAAAAAAGGAGATTCAGAGCCAACTTTCAATTGTGTTTGTAGCCGCTGTCGCTCTCCAACGCCAGCGCCACCTCTAGCTCCCTGAGCTCCAGCCAAAGGAGAAGCGGGTAAGGAAGGAGGTCTTTACACCACAGCTGGGCTGGTACAAAGCAAACTCCCGCAAACAGACCGGTACTAAAGCACCCAGGAAGCAATGGGCTACCAAAGCTGCTAGCAGAGTGCGCCCTCTACTGGCGGGGCGAGGAGACCTCACCGCTGCAGGTCTGTAAAGAGGCACTCCGTGAAATGAGATGTTATCAGAAGTCCACTGAACTTCTGATGCACAAACTTCGTTTCCAGCGTCTGATGCAAGATATGGCTCAGGACTTCAAAACAGATCTATGCTTCCCGAGCACAACTGTTGCTGCTTCACAGGAGGCAAGTGAGGCCTGTATCTGGGTGGCTTTTTTGAAGACACCAACCTGTGTGCTATCCATGCCAAACATGGAACTGTTATGCCAAAAGACATCCAGCTAGCAGGCCACATACATGGAAAACTTGCTTAAGAATCCACGTTCCGGCCGGGC